ATCTAGATTTGTCATGGACTATCTTGTTTTGACCTTCTATGGTGATTGACAGTTTTTCTGGGTATAGTAGTCTGGGCTGGCATCCATGGTCTCTTAATGTCTGCATAACGCCTGACCACAACCTTCTGGATTTCATTGTCTCCAATGAGAAGTCAGGTGTAATTCTGATATATCTACCTTTATATGTTACTTGACCTTTTTCCTTTGCAGCTCTTAATATTCTTTTTTTTTCTACTCTATATGTTTAGTGTTTTGATTATTATGTGGCAAGAGAACTTTTTATTTGGATCCAGTCTATTTGGTGTTCTGTAAGCTTCTAGTATTTTCATAGACATATCTCTCCTTAGACATATCTCTCCTTAGGTTGGAAAAGTTTTCTTCTATGATTTTGTTAAATTTATTTTCTGTGCTTTTGAGTTGAACATCTTCTTCTATACCTATTAGATTTGACCTTTTTGTGGTGTCCCATATTTCCTGGATATTTTGGGTTAGCTCTTGTTAGATTTAATGTTTTCGTTAACTGATGAGTCTTTTTCCTCTATTGTATCTTCAGTGCTTGAGATTCTTTCTTTCATTTCTTGTATTCTGTTCATGCTTGCGTCTGTGGTTCCTGATCATTTATCTCATGATTTCTGTTTCTGTAATTCCCTTGGTTTATGTTTTCTTTATTGCCTCTTTTTGGGTTTTCAAGTCCTGAATAGTTTCTTTCATATGTTTGATTTCTTTTTCTTGGTTTTCTTTAAGTGATTTGCTGATGTCTTCCAATTTTTTGTTTGTCTTTTCCTCCATTTCTTTAAGTGAATTTCTCATTTCTTCTTTTAGAGTTTCAAACATTCTCTTGAAATTATTTTTTAGGTCATTTTCTTCTTCATCCATATTTGGTTGTTCAGGTATTTCTGTTGTAGGGTCTTTAGGTTTTACTGGTGTTGTGTTTTTCTTTGTGATGTTGCGTATGTTCTTGCCTTTTCTACTCATCTTTTCTCTAATAGGTGTGGTTGGGGCTGTCTGAGATTCTGTTGTATAATCTTCTAGGTGCCAGTGAATCCAAAGCTCAGATGGTTGTTCCTCATAGTACAGTCAGTGTCACAGTTCTAGTTACCCTGCTGATTACTCTGTTTTTGGAGATAGCTCAGTGTTCCTGTGCTTTGCTCTGCTCCCTTATAGTTTGCTGTCTCAGGCCTACTTTGACCTAGGTTGCCGGCTTTGCCCTGTTTCTGTAAATTCTGGTCTGGAACCCCTCCTGAAGAAGTTGCTGGGTTGGAGTTAGACATGGAAAGGCTTCTGGCTCCAGTCTACTGCCTTGGAGGGCCCAGGCTCAGGTGTGCCCAGAATCGCAGAGGACCTGCTTACTCCCTCAGAGGTCCCAGACTCATGCTAGGACCCACAGAGGTTGTGGCTCAGGTCTACTCCCTCTGAGGACCCAGACTCAAGCCTGGCCCTACCGAGATTTCTGGTTCCTGCCTATTAGAGGTCCCAGGTTCGTTCACGAACAGACTGGCAGAGGTCCTGGCTCAGGCCTAGTTCCTGGGAGGTCCTAAACTCACACCCAAACCCACCAGGGTCCTAGCTTAGGTCTACTGCCTTGAAGTTCCCAAATTCACGTCCAGACCCTCAGTGGTACTGGCTCTGACTCACTCAGCAGTTACTCCCCTGTACCTATTCTGGTGGCTATCGCTGACTGGATCTGGTTGCTGTGTCAGTCCTGATCTGCCAGTGTCCCAGGACTGGATTTGCTCCTGGCTTCTGCTCCTAGTGAAGTTTATTTGCTCTCTGTCTTAGATAGCTGGTCCAGTCCCACTCAAGTTCTGGTAGAAATCACTGACTCTTTTCTTCTACCTTTTTGTTTGTCTTCTCTGTTTCTTTAAAGCAGTTTTTCACATCCTGTTTAAGATCCTCTATTTTCTTAATGTTACGTTTAAAGTCAATTTCTTATACTTCTTCTAGAATAGGGTGTTCAAGTCTTGTTGTGTGATCCGCGCACTCTGGTGATGTCATGTTGCCTTTCAGGTTGTTGGAGGAATTCTTGCATTGGCACCTGCCCATCTCTTCCTTCAAATGCAGCCAAGAGAGTCTTGGCGTCTTGGTCCAATCTTTGCTGTGACTGACTCTCTGGGTGGATCTCCTCAGTGCAGGAGCAGGAACTGTGCCTGGGCCAAGGACCTCACAGACAATAGGGCAGGCTTGGGGGAGGCAGGGTCGTGTGGAACAAAAAAGCCCCTGCAACAGGAGCTGGAGGGGCCCTCTGCTCCTTTCCTGGACCATCTGCCCCACTCCGGGATGGCACCCACTCACCGATCTGGATGGTTCTTCTCAGCACAGGGACAGGGACTCCTGGAAGTTCAAGGACACTGCAGACTCTGAATCACTGACTCTTGAGTCAGGTCACTGGCTTAATCCTTGTCCGCCAGTGTCCTGGGACTGGGTTGGCTTCCAGGACTGGATTTGCTCCTGGCTTCTGGTCCCAGTGGAACTTGTTTCCTCAGGCCTTCTTGGTCCTAGGAAGCTCTTTGAGCCCCACTCCTGTGGAATTGGTTGTTCAAGGTGGAGTTCTTGCCTCAGAGCAAATGTAGCCTAGGTTACCAGATTTGACCTGTATCTGTAAATCCTGGTTTGATTTCCCTCCTACAGAAGTCCCTGGGTTGGAGCTGGATGTGGAAAGGTTTCTGGTTCCTGTCTACTGCCTAGGATTTTCTAGGCTCGGGTGTGCCCAGACCCACAGAGGGCCTACTTACTCTTTCAGAGGTCCCAGACTCACACTCAGACCTACAGAGTTTCCAGGTTCCTGCCTATTCCCTTTGATGTCCCAGACCAATGGCCTGACCAATGCCCTGACCCACAGAGTTCCTTGCTCAGGCCTACTCCCTCTGAGGATCCAGACTCATGCCTGACCACATTGAGATTTCTGGTTCCTGCCTTTCCCTTGGAGGTCCCAGGTTCACTCACGTCCAGACTGGCAGAGGTCCTGGCTCAGGCCTAGTTCCTGGGAGGTCCTAGACACATGTCCAGACCCACCAGGTCCTGGCTTAGGTCTACTCCCTTGAAGGTCCCAGATTCACGTCCGGACCCTCAGCGGTCTCTAACTCTGGCTCACTTACTCAGCGGTTACTCCCCTGTACCTGTTCTGGTGGAGATTGAGGACTCTGAGTCAGGTTGCTGTGTCAGTCCTGATCTGCCAGTGTGCCAGGTCTGGATTGGCTCCTGGGACTGAATTTGCTCCTGGCTTCTGCTCCCAGTGGAGCTTGTTTCCTCAGGCCTTCTTGGTCCTAGGAAGCTCATTGAGCCCCACTCCTGTGGAATTGGTTGTCCAAGGTGTTCTTGCCTCAGAGCAAATATGGCCTAGGTTACCAGATTTGACCTGTATCTGTAAGTCCTGGTTTGATTTCCCTCCTACAGAAGTCCCTGGGTTGGAGCTGGATGTGGAAAGGTTTCTGGCTCCTGTCTACTGCCTCGGAGATCCCAGGCTTGGGTGTGCCCAGACCCACAGAGGGCCTGCTTACTCCTGCAGAGGTCCCAGACTCACACTCAGACCCACAGAGTTTCCAGGTTCCTGCCTATTCCCTTTGATGTCCCAGACCAATGGCCTGGCCCAGCCGAGGTCTCTGGTTCCTGCCTATCCCTTGGAGGTCCCAGATTCACACCCGGACCCTCAGCGGTCTCTAACTCTGGCTCACTTGCTCAGCGGTTACTCCCCTGTACCTGTTCTGGTGGAGATTGTTGAGTTTGTGTCAGGTTGCAAGCTCAGTCCTGATCCGCCAGTGTCCCAGGATTGGGTGGCTTCCAGGACTGGATTTGCTCCTGGCTTCTGCTCCCGGTGGAGCTTCTTACTTTTAAATAAGAGAAAATTAGTATTGCCATTAGTGTGGGTCCATTAATGGCCTATCTCTGATAAATCTCATATCACGTTTATTGGAATTTATTTCATGTTTTGTTTCCAAAAATACATTTTTTCTCTATTTTATTTCTTTTTTTAATGCACAAGAAGACATAAAGGAAAATTCTGTAGTAACAGAAAAGGAGAGTCCAAAATTGCTGGTTATTCCTGCCCAAAGTAAACCAGTACACAGGTTTTCCTTAAGAAAGATGCCTGGTCAAAGTGGAACTGTTGGATAAGAGAAAGGCCTCCTGTATTTAGGAAGTTTTGTAGGCCGGGGCATACTAACGAACTCTCGGCTTTTACTGATGTGTAAGTCTCCAGTCTCCATATGTGTATGTTCCTGTGTGTGTGCAAGCTATTTTAAGTGTCTGCTGTTTCTCCTTTTGAACTTACTGCTCACCTAGGAACCCTACAGCACTCGCCCGTGGGACCCGCCGGGCCTGCATCAATAGAGCGAGTTCAAGGTATCCATTGTATCTGCGGGTTTCCTTTTGCTTGTGGTGTTCAGGGTGGGATGTTGAGAGGAAAAGAGCTGCTTGGCAATCATCCTCACGTTCAGAACCCCAAAAGGGTAGTGTTTTGGGGTATTTTTTTTCTTTTTTGTTAGTTTTGTGGCTTTTTTTTTCTCTTGGGGCCACAAGCCTAAGATTGACCTCTTCACACAGGGCAGAGAACATGAATGATATGGGCATCTGTCCAAGGCTCTACTCCCGCCCTACTGGTGTCAGGAGGCTTGAATGGAATAGCAGTCTGTAAGGAGATAGCAGGTTCTTGCAGAACCATGGCAGGGTTCCTATGCCAAGAACCTACCTCTCTTTTGTGACTCTGGTTCTTAAACTAAGATTGATTAGAAGGAAAACCAGGATCATAAGTTTATTCAGGTTACAGTGCTAGTCCTTGGCAGGTGGTTCCCCAGTTTGTTCTTTATATAATTCCATCCATACCTCTAAAATGGCACTGGTTGTGCCTACACCCTGCTTCTGTCCTTGAGCTGCAAGAGGATTCTGCTGTGGTGAGGTTTCACCCACTCTAAGGTGTCTGAATTATGTTGTCAGTGGTATAGAGTCATTTCTTGTTTCCTAATGTGTCTTTCACAGCAGTAACTCCCTGTTTGTTTCCCTGCCAGTGCCGATGCAAGACCCCAGAGCAGCTATGCAGCGGGGAGCCTTGCCTGCCAATGTCCCAACTCCTCGTGGTCTGTTAGGAGATGCCCCCAATGACCCACGGGGAGGCACTTTAATGTCTGTAACTGGAGAGGTAGAGCCTAGGTAAGTACTGATGTAGAAGGAAACACCTTGAGAAGTTGGAAAGTGTCCTTACATTGAAAGCAAATGGTCGGACCTGTTTGCCTACTTCAAAAGATAAATAAGATTTGTAACCACTGTCTAAAACTAATTCCGAAAACATAATCGTATAGCTAAGAAGGTAACTTTGAAGCTGGGTGATGGTAGTGCATGCCTTTAATTGCAGCACTCGGGAGGCAGAGACAGGCAGATCTCTGAGTTCGAGGACAACTTGGTCTACAAGAACGAGTTCCAGGACAGGCTGCAAAGCTACAAAAAAACCCTCTCAAAAAAAGAAGATAACTTTGAGCCAACAATGACTGTTATATTTTCAGAAATTGAAAATTGTAGTAATGTATACCTAAACAAGGAAAATGTGTGAGGTAATGGTACTATTAATGACAATAGTTGTTGGTGTTGGTGGGGATCACACCTCTGACTTTCTCTAAGTACTTAAATCACCTCATTAAATCTTCCTTAGGCCAGGGGTGTAACTCCCGTGGTAAGACTACTTGCCTAACATTTCCAAGGCCCTAGGTTCAATCCTCAGCCCCACAAAGATAGACAGATAAATCCATATAACCTTAGAAATGACTATTCTTAGTCCTATTTTACAGGTAAAGAAACCAGGGCATATAGTGGTTAAGGTAATGACCCAGATCACATAGCTAATAAATGGTAAGACCTAGATTTCAGCCATTTATTCTGAATCCAGAATCTGCATTGCTAAGCAGTCTGCTGCATATTCATTGTACTTATAATAAGTGTCCATTAATTCTTCCCTAATTTTGAATGCCCTGATCAAATAAGAAATTCCAGAATGCATAGATTTACATTCTATAGCTTTCTTTCATCTGTGTGATGTTACTTTGTTACCATTTATTTATTGATATTTGTATTTTCTGTTGGATGTTTGTATACTGATCTGATTGACATTTCAATGTTGGTACATTCTGCTTTAAAATATGTCACTTCTCTCTATCTCTAGAGCTTACTTGGGACCACCACCACCACCTCATCAGGGCCCACCCATGCACCATGTTCCTGGCCATGAAGGCCGTGGACCACCCCCACATGACATGAGGGGAGGTCCATTAGCTGAGCCCAGACCTTTAATGGCAGAGCCAAGAGGACCCATGATAGATCAGAGGGGTCCACCCATGGATGCTAGAGGTAAGAGAAAACTGCATCACAACTCCAACTAGTGGCCATGGTTGGTGAAGAATTTGCCTCTCTTCAGCTCTAATATGGGGCAGAAGTCTTGGAAAGAGTTTTTACGATTTACCTACAAATCTGATAAACTAGAAAGGAGATAGTGTCATAGACAAGGAGAGATGTAACTAGAAGTTATTAGCTATACACTGGTTTTCTTACAACTTTCTAGGTGGAAGAGATCCCCGAGGATTAGATGCACGAGGGTTAGAGGCCAGAGCCATGGAGGCCAGAGGACTGGATGCCAGAGGACTGGAGGCCCGTGCCATGGAAGCTCGTGCCATGGAGGCCCGTGCCATGGAAGCCCGTGCCATGGAGGCCCGTGCCATGGAAGCCCGTGCCATGGAGGCCAGAGGGATGGATACCAGAGGCCCAGTACCTGGACCTAGAGGACCTATACCTAGTGGAATCCAAGGTCCAAATCCAATGAACATGGGGGCTGTCGTTCCCCAGGGATCAAGACAGGTAATACTTGTAGCATCTACATAAAATCTTAATATATTTGGGAATTTGTTACTGAGCCTGATTTTTGTTGTCTTCTGACTTAAATGAATTTGCTTGTTAGAAAGGAGAGAATAGGCTCTCCTTTTACTTTCTCATATCCCTTAGGAGAAGGGCGACTAGCCTCTAATACTTAACCCAAAATAACAACCTTGTTTCACAATTTTAGTGGCTATTTAATTCAGAAAAACTTCTGAAAATGAAAATGTACAGAGCAGGGAGTACTCTGCACTACTGAGTATATAAACCACCAATATGTACAAAGTCCTCCCACCAAATACTTGTGCAGATCTTAGGCCATTTGAAAAACCTCCCCAAATGATTCCCATGTATAACCTGAACTAGATCATTTGAGGAGTTGCATTCATTTAGATTATCTTGGGGTGGCAAAGACCTGTGTGGATCTATTGTCATCATAGCATCTAAATAAACAGTGGTATAGGAAAAAGCCATCTGCATATAATTTTGGAACTGCAATCTGTTGCTTCTCTGTCTCCTTCACTTGGCTCACTCCAGCTGTATGTATGGGATGCTTTGTAAGTCACCTCATTTTTATCATCTCCAGTTGGTTGTGGGGAGATGGAATGTGTATCTCCTCAAGTTTCTATATGTTGGTGCCTTCATTTTTCATTTCTCTCTTCCCATTTTCATGTGCTTCTGTGTCTTCCAATGTATTTGGGTGTAAAAGAAGTGGCGGGCCGCTTTCTGCTGCCTGGCTCCTGGCTAGCTTTACCCAAAATAATTACACAGAAACTATATTCATTTAAACACTGCCTGGCCCATTATTTCTAGCCTCTTCTTGGCTAACTCTCACATCTTGCTTTAACCCACATCTAGTAATCTGTGTATCACCACGGGGTTGTGGCTTACCCCAAAGATTATAACCTATGTCCATCTCGGTCTGGAGCTTCATGGCGTCTGCCTGGCTCTGCTTTCTTTCCCCCAGCATTCTGTTCTGTCTACTCTGCCTATCTAAGCTGCTGTCCTATCAAAGGCCAAGGCAGTCTCTTTATTTGACCAATGAAAGTAACACATAGACAGAAGACCCACTTACATAATTTCCCCTTTTTCTGTTTAAACAAAAAAGAAAGGAAAACTAAAAAATAATAAAATTACTATGTAAAACTAAAAAAAAGACAGGCTTTCACTTTAACATAGTAAAATTACATATAACAAAACAGTTATCAAGCAAGAATTACAGTTACAATATTTATATCTATTTTATCTTTTATCATAACTAAGGAAAACTATAACTATCCATTCTTCAACTCCATCAAAGACTCCAGAAGGATATAATATTACCTAAGTAAACAAGAAGTAAGCAACTTCCAAAACTCTAGAAATGACAGAGACATCTCGCTGCCTGGATAGTCACCAAAAGTTCCTCTGTACCATTGGGGCATCCATCTTCAGCCTACAGGCTCTAGTATCCAGCAGACATTTCCATGAAGCAGGAAATTTTAAAGACAGTTCAGTCACTTTCTTTTTTATCCTGCAGAATGTCTCACAGACTCTTTCATGAAGCAGGAACCCCGAAGGATCATCTCACCTTTATACAAGTTTAGCAGTCCTCTCTCTGCGGGTTCTCTGTGTCCAGTTTATGCAACAGTCCAGGCAAGAGCAGTTTCTTGCCCACATGACTATCAAACTCTATAAGGAGCGTCTTCGATGCCCATCTTCCTCTTGAAGTAGATTGGTGCTGCCAGGAGCAGATGTGACTCATTGTCATGAAAACCCCTAATTTATTAAAACATTAAATGCCATATTCTGTAGTCTTTGAAAGATATGAAGAATGCCTATTTAACTGAAATATATCTCTACATGTCTAGAAAATCTAACTAACATGACTACAAGCTTGACTATTATTGGCAATTATCTATTAACAACCTATATTTCCTAATTATACATTACATTTTTAAAATGAACTACACAATCATACCGTAATCAATATCAGAAATACATATACATATAGCAAAATTTACCTTAAAATCCATACCAATGCAAATTATTCATATCTATATCATATCCCCCTTTAAATGTAAAAGAGCATTTATAAACAATATCTGGGAATATGGACGTAGTTATTTCTCTCCAAACTTCCTCCTGCTGTATAGGGGTGCTATTAATTAGGTCTTTTATGGTGTATCCTGTATGCTAGGTTCATCTCAGTCAGCAGTTGAGTGAAGTAAATTTTTTGAGGGTGTTCACAGCAATCTTTCAGGAGGGCATGGTCTATCATATCACATTGGGATAGAAGCAATGTACAGGGTCTCATCCTCTGAGAAAACAAAAGAAGAACATCTTTTACAAAGCATCATATCCTTAGACCCAAATTTGAAAGTCATGATATTTTTAGAACATGTATGTAGTTTGGCAGACCACACAATGAAATGTCTCTCTGTATTTAGCCTAAGCGTGATCCCACAGTCTGCCTAAGTGCAGGCAGGGAGTGCCGAGTCATTGGCATAGTCTCAGAGTACTTTCTTACCGATCCCAAGCGGCCACACAAACATCCAGTCTCATAAAAGCCATTGAAATGCTTTAAAGCCAGAGTTTGCACTGACGGCACAGCCCAGGAAGCCGCATTCTAAAATGGTGCGGCTTTTTTTCTGCCACTATTGCTGAAACAGGAAGTCTCTCTATGGCAAGTCCTAGCAAATAGCAAAAAGCTTTGTTAAACTCTCTTTCCCCCCTTTTTAAAGCCCTCTCAGGTTTTTAAGTGGATTTAGTAGACCATGTTGGGCATCCAGTCTGTAGTAAAAAGAGCAGCAGCGGGCTGTGTCCCGGCTAGCTTTACTCAAAATAATTACATGGAAACTGTATTCATTTAAACACTGCCTGGCCCATTATTTCTAGCCTCTTCTTGGCTAACTCTCACATCTTGCTTTAACCCATATCTAGTAATCTGTGTATCACCACGGGGTTGTAGCTTACCGGGAAGATTCTAATCTACGTCCATCTCGGGCCGGAGCTTCCTGGTGTCTGCCTGACTCTGCTTTCTTTCCCCCAGCATTCTGTTCTGTCTACTCTGCCTATCTAAGCTGCTGTCTTATCAGAGGCCAAGGCAGTCTCTTTATTTGACCAATGAAAGTAACACATAGACAGAAGATCCACCTACATCATTTGGGGATTGGAAGAGAAAAAGGAAAGAGAGGAAAATATCAAAACTAGAATGCAACATGTCTGGCATCCAGTTCTTTCCATTTTATAGGTTTGGAAGGTGAAGGCAAGAAGTTGCAGAGTGGGAAGGCTGCTTGTTCATCCCAGCCACCCAACTAGCTTAGCCCCAAAATAACGACACAGAAATTGTATTAATTAAATCACTGCTTGGTTCATTAGTTCTAGCCTCTTATTGGCTAACTCTCACATCTTGATTTAACCCATCTCTGTTAATCTGTATATCGCCATGTGGCAGTGGCTTACTGGCAAGATTCTAACTGGTATCCATCTCAGGCAGAGGATCCATGGCTTCTCTCTGACTCCGCTTTCTTCCTCCTAGCATTCTGTTTAATTTTCTCCACCTACCTAAGTCTGATGACTTGGCCAAATTCACCTAACTAAAAAAATAATGGAGCAAGAAATACAGCTTGCTCTTTTATTCTACTTCTCTGTCTTATTTGCATCTGTATATGTGTCTCTGTGTGTGGGTGTTTGCCTGATTCTCCCTAACTTGAGATAAAAATGTGGCTTTTTTGGCATATGTAGAATAAAAATGTATTTTCTTTTGTATTTCAGGTTTTGCTTTTAAAAATGTGTTTGCAGGCTTTGATTTTGTTGCATGCTCTATGGTCAATAGCCTCATAACACATTTTTTATACATCTTTTCAATACTTATTGAGCATCTACTGAATACAATCATAGTACTAGGGATATAGTAGTATGAACATCAAAGTCTTGATATACTAGCTGAGAAAAGAGGCACCAAGTAACTATACACTGTGCTTATATAATTCTACTGACCATTCTATGGAGAAAGACATTAAAAATGATGGCTGATATCTTGCTCCTTCTTCTGTTAGTGTTTGAATTCATTACTTTCTAATGGTAGGGTTTTTTATTTGTTTTTGTGATGCTAAGACTCAACCTAGAACCTCACAAATGCTAAATAATCTACCCCTGAGCTATACCCCCAGCCCAATATAGTTTTTATTAAAAGTCTGTAAGGTCAGTTAGATCCAAGGTAGAGAAAATAAGAACTTAAAATTGATACTTTTTACATTTTTTAGCAATATAGTCAATAATTATATAAATAATACATTCCAGTCATCTATGAAAGTGTTATGTTAGGAACCTCACTTCCTCTTCTGTATCTTTCACTTGTGATAGACAATTGCCTTTATTAGATTGTTTTTTGAGACAAAGTCTTTTCATGTAGCACTGGCTGACCTGGAACTCACTATATATACTGGGCTGGCCTTGAACTCACTGAGATTTGTCTGCCCATGTCTTGGGAGTGCTGGAGTTAAAGGCATGCACCACCACATTTTGCTTATCTGATATTTTTAGTGTAGCTTTCTACTGTTATCCTTTTTATGATCTTTGGTTTTTTAACTTAATATGGTCTTCATATCTCTTTAAATTAATTTTAAATTTAACTCCAGTCCACACAGTTAGAAGCGTGTAGCTAAAAGGCTTGTTGCTATAGGGTGTTTATATAATTTGTCATACAAAGAAGAAAACATTCAAGAATGAAAGTGTTAATAATTTACCCTGAGGGGGAAAAACATAAACTGGGATTGTCTTAGGCCAACCAAGGTATTTGACCAGTCTTACTAGTATTTATCTGTCTAGTACAGATATTCCTAGAAACTTCAGCTGGCCATTTGGAGTAGTTATTTCATACTACACTGTCTCAGATTGGTATAAATCAGTATTAGTAAATTCCCAAGTGACTCTACCCAGAAGTTGTTCATATCCGTAATTATTAAGGTTTATGCAAGTCCGTGAACGTTTTAATATAGATA